CAGTGGCCCAACAACTCTGCTAGTACTTTTTTTAAAAAAGATTCTCAAAGATGCAGAGTTGCAAGGTCATTTCCTCGGACTAAAGGCTGGAGGAGCTGAAAGTAATGTAGCAAAGATGTCACCCTAGACAGGCATGCTGGTGCATACCTGTAATCCCAGGACTGGAGAAGCAGCTGCAGAAGGACCCAGAGGTCAATGTCAGCCTCTACTACATAGCAAGTTTGAGACCCTCTCTCAAAAACAAAGAAAGAAAAAAAAAAGATTTGTTACCCTTCATTCTGAGTCTGGAGACCTGCAGGGTTGGGGGAGGGTGTGTTGTTCCCTCTACACTGGTCAGTGGCCCCTACCCTGCACAACTCACCTCATTTCTTTAAGAATTTGGTGTGTGTGTGTCCATGTGCATGAACATGTACATACATGCATGCCTGCATGGGTGTGTGTATGTGTACATGCATGTGTGCATGCATGCACAGGTGTGCGCAGGTGGGTCAGGCAGGGGAACTGATGGAAGGTTAGAGATTTGAATCTAAACCAGCTCACAAATTCTTTCCTGGTAGCCTGACGATCATTGCGGGATAGAAGAGATAAGTCAGAATTAACCCCTCACCAGCCACACTCGTAACAGTCACACGTCCCCCATGGGAAGTTAGTAAACATTTTCTGAGTAACATTTCATCTGCCAATGCATGTATATCCTAAAACCCTTCACAGCACCTGCTCTTAGATGCTTTCATCCCCATGACAGAGAGGAGAAATGAACAGATTACACAATCTTGGGACACAACTTTTGTAAGGTAGCATTTCATTCACCTAAGGTGACACCAGCGTTTTGCAGATAGGGACTTAAGACTGAATAATAACAAGCCAGGCATGATATTCAATAATCCCAGCATTCAGGAGGCTGAGGCTAAGTCTGGGTCACATAGAGAGTTACAGGCCAGCCTGAGTTATATAGTATATATATCCAGCCTCAAAATAAGTAAATGAATATAAAATAAAGAATAACATTCAAGAAAACATTTTGGTTTTGATCAGTTGTAACACTGATGTAAGTTTTATATTCTACCCAACAGGATGCATTTCCTTTGCTCTCTCGTTCTCCTTTTTGTTGCAAGTCTATCTTAGTGCAGCTGACTGTGCAATAGAAACTTCTAAGACAGTGTATCCACAACTCTGCTAGACATCAGAATCACCTGAGGGGCCTTTGGAACAATCGTATAAACAGGTCGTTGCCTATATTAATTATCCTAGAATGCCTGCGGCATAAAGCCAGGTGACTGCAGCTTAATCTACTGATGCAAAGAATAAGAGAAAAAAATCTTTTGGGTTTAAAAGAAACAAGCAAAACATACAGTTTCATCATACTTAAATCCTAACACACGGAGCAACGGTGCCAGGCTTGTCCAAGTGTGAGCCCAGCTTTCTCTGTGCAGTAAGTTCTAGGCCAGCCAGAACAACATGGTGAGACCCTGCCTACAAGTCCAACTGCCAAGGCAGGAGAATTGCTATGAGTTCAAAGTCACCCTGGGTGGCTTAGTGGGTTATAGGCCAGCCTGGGCTACACAGTGAGACTACCTCTCAAAACACACCAAAAAAGAAAAAACAAAAAACAAAAAAACAAAAAAAAAAAACAAAAAATGCATGCCTGCATGTATACATACATAGGTAAGTGTAATTTCTAGAAACTCTGGGACACTTTTAAATAGCTTTAATGTTTGTTTGTTTGTTTGTTTGTTTTTAATCAAATGACTGTGCTTCATTAGACCTGTTGAACAATTTACAAATGAAACTTAATAAGATTTGTCAACTTGGGTCTACAGAGAAAGCTCAACTGTTAAGAGCACCGTTGGTTCTTCCAGAGGGCCTGGGTTCAATTCCCAGCATTCATAAGGCAGCTCACAACCATCTGTAACTCTGGTGCTCTCTTCTGACCTCAACCAGCACTTCTAGCTTGTAGCTCACAAACATGCTCAAAGACAAAAGAACCATGCACATAAAATAATAACATAAAATTTAAAAGATTTGTCAAGTTGAGACTTATTCGGATGAATGTTTAGCTGTCAAATTATTGCATACAGGACTGGGTAGAGCCCCTGACTCACATGTGGGGCCCTCTGTTCAATGACTAGCACCAAAGAAAAACAAACAAAACCTGATGGAGTAAAGACAATATGGGCCATGGTGCCTTCCTGATGACTCTTGAAAGTTTTCAGGTGACATCATGCAGCACGAGGCCAGCACAGTGAGCCCAAGGACCATGCCCTCACTGAAATGTAGATAGATACCTAAGGGCCATCGAGATCAATTGTGAGAATTTGTTGAGGAATTCAAGAAACTGAACTTTTCTGTGAGCCTTGGGACTGATACGGAGTAACCAGGAACAGTCTCATTTCTGTGCACAGTCCAACAAACAAACAAACAAACATTAAAGCTATTAGTATTAGTCAGGGTTCTCTAGAATCACAGACCATATGGAATGTCTTTCTATGTTGAGGGAATTTATTATGATGACTTACAGTCTGTACTCCAACTCCTCAGCAACGGGCAGCTGTGAATTGGAAGTCCAAGAATCTAGTAGTTGCTCAGTCCCACAAGGCTAGTTGTTTCAGCTGATCTTCTGTAGAAGTAGATTCCAACAGATATGCTGGCAAGTAAGTGCAAACATCAAAGAAGACCAAACCTTCCTTCTTCCAATGTCCTTAGGTAGGTCTCTAGCAGAAGGTGTGGCCCAGATTAAAGGTGTGAACCACCACTCCTGGATCTAGAACTTGTTTTGTCTTAGGCTGACCTTGAATTCAGAGATCTTCTTGCCTTAGTCTCCTGGGATTAAAGGTGTGTACTACTTGCCTGTGCCTAAGCTTTTCGTGGCCACTGTGCCTCAAGATCTCCATGCTAATCCAGGTCAGAAACTTGTGTCTTCCAGCCTCGCGATCTGGATAACAGGTGAACTTTCCAACTCTGGATTGTTCTAGATATAGTCAAGTTGACAAGCAGAAATAGCCATTACACTATTTAAAATATTTAAGTGTCTCAGAGTTTCTAGAAATGATGTATATATTATGTATATATGTATATATTATGTATTTTTATTTTGTTTTGGTGTGGGTGTTTTGAGAGGGAGTCTCACTATATAGCCCAGACTGGCCTAGAACCCACTAAGCCACCCAGGGTGACTTTGAACTCATAGCAATTCTCCTGCCTTGGCAGTTGGAATTGTAGGCAGGGTCTCACCATGTTGTTCTGGCTGGCCTAGAACTTGATGCACAGAGAAAGCTGGGCTCACACTTGGACAAGCCTGGCACCTTTGCTCTGTGTGCTAGGATTTAAGTATGATGAAACTGTATGTTTTGCTTGTTTCTTTTAAACCCAAACTTTACATAGTTCTATCTCGTTACATTTAAAATTCAAGAGAATCCCTTCTGTCTTTGGCAGCCATGAGGTTTTAGTCCCATCCCTTGGAAAAGCCAGCCTACTTGCTGCTTGTCCCTAGATTGACCTCCATGTGAGTGAGCACTTTGTCCCCGGGAATAAGGCACACTTTTCCCAGAGGTATAGAGACTTAAACTCCCGTGACAGTGTGGAAGGGTGTCTGCTCTCTGAGGGTTTAGCTGTTCTCTCTTTCTCCTCCCGTCTTTAAAGAACAGTGGGTGATGATTCCCAAACACACTAATTGGTGTGTGTCTAACCTTTGGAGGTTTCAATGTGTACACTCTCCTATTCCTGTGAGCTCAGTCCCTGCCTGGGATGACATCACCTGCTGAGACAATGGTGCATGCTTTGAGGCTGTCTGGTTGACAGTGGGTAGGGTTATCTCACAGTTCTAGGGCAGTCCCTTGGGGGACTAACCTTAGGCTTCTGTCCAGCTGAAGTTGCACTTGACACTGCACCTTGGTCTGTCACAGGGGATCTTCACAAAGCCAAACAGAGAACCAGAGTTCAAAAAGTATCGAGCCCTCCGTGACCTCCTACCTCTCTTGTGTTCTTATCTAACTCAGTTGATCACTTTTTTTGTGGGTTCTCCTTCTGTCCTTTCTTGTTTTCCCAGACAATGCAGTGACACAACCTTACCTGTCAAAATAAGGAGAGAAAGGGAAAAGAGTTTAAATAAGTTTATCATTAAAGAAACCTTGTATTTACAGCCTTATACGTAAATAAGTCCCAGCTACAGGCCTGACTATGTTTTGAATTTCAGGTTGGACTCTCTGAAACTTTGATGGTGGCTCATTTGTGCAGTCCTGTTGTAATTGAATGGACTGAACCATCACAAATGTTCTCATCTTTAGTAAACCTTGGTTGAACCTAAGAAAGAAGGGGGAGGGGAAAGAGGAAGGAAGGGGAGAAAAGAAAAGGAAAGAGGGACAGAGGAGGAAAGAAGGAGGGAGGGAGGGAGAGAGGGAGGGAGGGAGGGAGGAAGGAAGGAAGGAAGGAAGGAAGGAAGGAAGGAAGGAAGGAAGGGAACTCTTAAAGGAAATATACATTGGGTTGGGGAGATGAGGAACAGCTCAGTGGATAAAACACTTGCTCTGCAGGCTTGAGGATGAAGTGTCAGTCACCAGAACCCACATAAATTCTGGGCAGGCTTAGCAGCTGGCCTACAATCCCAGCACTGGGAAGTTGAAAATGAGATCCTTGGAGCAAGCTGGCTAAGTATACTAGCCTTACAGTCAATGTCTACATTCATTTGAGAGACTCTGCCACAAAAAGTGACCACAATATAGGAAGATTTCCACAGTCAACCTTGAGTGTCTACATGCATATACAAACATGCCCACACACATGTAAACATATGTATATTATATACACATACCCCCCACCCCAAAGGAAACCTGAGTGGCAGCAATTTGGTGTGTTTGTATTTATTTTGATCTAAGTGGATAAATATCTTTTTAGGAAAGTCTCAGAAGCATTTCATGACCAGGATCTCATGAGACACTTCACCTTGTCACACCTCTGAATGTTGACAAGCCTGACAGCCACCATGATTTTCCCTCTGCCTACAGGACTGCCAACTAGACTCCCAGAAATCATGCTGGTGGGATCCCAGTCCTTCTCTCCTGGCGGGCCCAATGGCATCATCCGGAGCCAGTCCTTCGCAGGTTTTAGTGGGCTGCAGGAAAGGCGATCCAGGCAAGTACTGGGTACTCCTCCTGGGATGCAGCAGAAAGGGGCTGTGTGTGCACATGTGTACCAGCTAATGTCTTCTTCATGGAAAGGATAACACATCCCGAAATAAGGGCAATCATTCCTATCACTTACAATTCCTTTTGCAAAGATATCTGAGGATTTAGGGTGAGCCAGCCCTTTGCATATATATATCTATATATATATATATATATATATATATATATGATGTCATTCAGGTAGGGGTTGGGAAATTAGGCTCTAGTGTCCCTGGAATCTCCTCCTCTCATAAAACCAAGAACGTTCAGAGAGTGAATGGCTAACATGCAAGAGAAGTCACCCTCATGGACGAAGTTCTCCCTTCCCAAGGGGAGCTCCAGGTTCAGAGAGAGACTGTCTCAAAAACATAATGTGAAGAGTAACAAAGGCCAATACCCAAAAGTCAGCTTTCAGACGTATAAGTACATACATGTACTATGTACTAGCAGACCCCAATGCAAAATAATAATAAAAGTAAAGTAAGCTAACTAAGACTTCAAGGACAGCTCTAAGTCCAAGCTCCATGTTTTAGTTTAATGCCCTAGAAAGTTAGCTATTTGTTGAGCTTTGGACACTTTACAAGAAAGATATCACTCACATCCTAGCAAGTCATTAAGTTTGTATCTGATATTATACAATGACTTTTCTTTTCCTTTGGTTGGATATTACTTCTACCTGTTCCTTGTTTCCACCTGAAACCTGGCTCTCTAAAAGCTAGACTCCAAGGATACCCTCAAAAGGCTATGCCTGCAGGGTAGAGCTTCTGCTCTGCAAAGCTTTCAGCAAACAAATGTCAAGAAACAAAATGCAGCTAGTTCCGGTCTGTGCTGTTCAAGGCCATGTCTCAATCCTCCAGGCAGTAGGATGAAGGCACTACAGTTTAAAAGGCTTTTCTCTAGTGGGTCTTTTGATGCCTGAGGCTCACAGTTTCCTTTCTCTTCTCTTTCTTTAGGTGTAACTCCTTCATTGAAAATGCCTCCGCTCTCAAGAAGCCTCAGGCCAAGCTGAAGAAAATGCATAATCTAGGACACAAAAATAACAACACCCCCAAAGAGCCTCAGCCAAAGAGAGTGGAGGAGGTCTACAGGGCCCTGAAAAATGGACTTGAGTAAGAAAAATGACCTTAACTATGTGCCTTTGGGAAAGAGGATCTTTTTCCTCCTCCTCCTCCTCCTCCTCCTCCTCCTCCTCCTCCTCCTCCTCCTTTTCCTCCTCCTCCCCCTCTTCTTTTTCTCTAAAACCTTTTTCCTTCCTAAAAACCAGTCATAGGAAATCTGTTTTGAAAGGGCCGTGTGAGCCACTGCTACATTATTCTTTGTTTTGTTTATGAGGCAGGATCTCATGCAGCCCAGGCTAGTCTTGAACTCCCTATGTAGACCTTGCAGTTCTGATCAGGTCTCCACCTACCAGATTCTGGGATTGCAGAGTGGGTGGGTGGGGAGTGTGCCAGAACACTTTCCTGGGTGTTTCCTTCTTGCTCTATCATTCAGGCAGCTATTTATAAGTCTCACAGATGGGAGACAGGTTGTATTTGCACATCGTATCATGATCCTGAAGTAGTGTGTTTATAGCTAAACCCCTGTACTATTGAACATCACTTAGCCAATAGTGGACAGCCATAGCTGAACTAGAGATTGCTAAAGAAGGGTTCTGAGCCAGGTGTAGTGTGGGTCACACTTGTAATTCTACCTAGAGCTCAGGAGGCCAACGAAGGAGCATCATCAAAGTTCAAAGTCAGGAGTTCAAAGTCAGCCTGGGTGACATAGTATACAAACTGCCTCAAACAGACATTGGTGCAAACAGTTCATAAAGGGTTCTGAAACCTTCCTGAATGTGTTTAAGGATAGTTTGTCCTGAAGAACACTTGCCTAGCAGTTTGGTAAGGCACCTACGGTAACTACCAGGTTTAACTAGACAAAACTGTGTGACCTAGGTCCTGCCTAACTCTTCCCTCCTTGTTGACTTTTCTCTTCTGGATTTTCAGCCTCAAGGGGGTGCTCCAGCCACCTCTGTTTCCTTTCTTCAAACTAGACAGGATCAGATGTGGCTACTAGGCTTTCAGAATGTTCTCCAGCCTCAAGTCAAAGTTTTGATTCTTTTTCAAGAGAGAGGCAGGGTCTCACTCTAGAATCCAGGCTAGCCTGAAACTTACTATGAAGCCCAGGCTGGCCTAGAATAGCCCTGCTTCAGTCTCCCAAGGGCTGAGCTTACAGGTGTGAGTCACCTGGCTGCGATCACTATTCTTAACCCCCTCTCAGAAGGCAAAGGTCAGCGACTGCTCAGATGGCTCCAGAAGTGAGCACTCACCATGATGTCTTACCTTTGCAGTGAGTACCTGGAGTTTCACCAGACAGAGCTGGACAAGCTGACTGCTCAATTAAAAGATATGAAGAGAAACTCTCGCCTGGTAGGTACCTCTGATCATGAGAATGCTAACACAGGGTGGTGGTGGGGGGGGGTGTCCTCTCCTCACTTACTGGAGGGGAGAAGTATCAGAGGGAGGAGAATGTTAAAGAAAACAGATACAAGGAGCAAAGCCATTGCCTCCTGGTGTGTATTTTGGAAGGAAGAATTGCTGAGACTAGTGGCTCACACCTACAACCCCAGAAGGAGAGAGGCTGAGGCAGGAAGATGGCCAGCCTCATATAGGGAAGCCTTGCCTCACCAAAACAAAACAAACCACAATAATAATAAAAAGAAAAAAGTGTTTTTCTTTTAAATGCTTTAGTCTTAATACTTCTGAGTATGTGCTATGTGTTTTTGTAGATATACTTCATGATGAAATAAAGATGATAAAATGATTAGAGTTTTAGAAAACTCTAAGTGGGGTTGGAGAAATGATTCAGTGGTTAAGAGCACTGACTACTCTTCCAAAGGTCCTGAGTTCAATTCCCAGCACCCATTTGGCAGCTCATGATCTGATGCCCTCTTCTGGTATGCAGTGATACATGCAGACAAAGTGCTCATATACTAAGATACATAATTACATCTTTAAAAGAAAACTCTAAATAATATAACAAAATGATCTGTTGCTATTTTCGTAGCATCTCCTTAGTATATTCAGAAATGAGAACATTTGCTTTATCTTCAATTTGTAAATGTAGGCCAGTGTCCTAGTTTGCTTTCTATTGCTATGATAAACACCACAGCCAAATGCAACTTACTGGGAAAAAAAAAGGTTTATTTCGGCTCACAGGTTGTATACTCTATCATAGAGAGAAGTCAGGGCAGGAACCTGGTGGCAGGAACATTAGCAGAGGCCAAGGAGGAGCACTGCTTACTGGCTTCCTCCTTGTGCCTTCCTCAGCCTGCTTTCTTATAGTCCTCAGAACCATGTGCTCAGGAGTGCACAACCCAAAATGTACAGGACCCACCCATATTAATCATTAAATATTAAATATTAATATTAATAATTAAATATTAATTATTTAAGAAAATGTCCCTACATACTTGCCTAGCTGCCAATCTGATGCTATTTTCTTATTGATCCCTCGTTGTAGATGACCCTGACTTGTGTCAACTTGACTGAAAGTTAACTACCCAGTCAGTGGCAGCAGGCAGGGAAGGAAGGGAGGCAGGTCACTAAGTGGCCAGTGTGAAAGCACCATTGAGCCCCATTAGAATCCATGCTGTATGGCTAATGTCCTCTCTTCTGATGAGATTGTGAGGACTGATTTTGATCATTTCAAAGTGTGATTTACTACACCTTAACATTTCAAGGCAACAGGAAACCCCAGGAGAGTCTGAATATGTAGACCTGGCACCTGTGTTTAATATGTGTTTGCCTTTCACTTCATTGGCATGTAGACTAAAATGCTCTTTGGGTTTTGTTTATGAACCGTTCAAGCTGCCAAGAAGCCACAAGAACAGGGTGCAACTGTAGAGTCACAGCGGTCATGTGATGCTGGCTCTTGAAAGTATCCCAAATAACCTAGAGTTTACTCATTAAAAGCAAATGCCAAAAAAGCCAATAGAGTTTGGTGGGGCTGGTGATTCCTTCACGGGCAATGAATAGATAGATAGGTGGGATCTGAGCTGTTTATTAAAGTGGGCAGGATTTCTAAGGAGGATGTGTTGTAACCAAGGAATCTTCTTTTTGTTTCAGGGTGTGCTGTATGACCTAGACAAGGTAGGCTAGCATTCTGTGTTGGGGTGCTGCTGAAAAACGAAGCTCTGCACTTGGAGCAGATGTCAGAATATCAGTAGAGACCCTTTGGGGGTAGGAAGATTCCAGATAAAGTATGACTGGGCGGGGGGGGGGTGTCCATGAACATCAGGGCCAACAGAATCAAAGAGCATGAGGGGGAACAAGGACTCCAAGATGTGAGTTTGTTCTGGTCCCTGAGCCTGGAACTTGTATTTTGAGATCCTCACCGTGTAACTGCCCTTTTCATCAAGTCTGAGACATCTCTAATTCATGCCATAATTGTTTATGTGCCACTAAAATGATTCCATACATATATAACATAATGTTTCAAAAATATAAAAGTAGAAATTATTCCAGTTAAATCTAGTTCTTCCTTTTCATGTAAAATGTATATTCTTTTTAACAAAATTCCTTCAGGCCTTTTAGAAGGGAGGTTCTTGTGTCTTCCTTCTTAGTTGTACACCCTCCATGCCGTTCTATATACATAGCTTTATTTCAATGCCTAATCTAATCATGGTATTCCCTACAAAGAAGCTTTAAAAGGCAATTAAATCAAATGTATGTTACAATATTTGTAACTCGTTGGGATGGCATGACCAGCTGCATCTGTGAGCCCAAATGGACAGCTATCACAATGCACAAACAACAATTATAAAGCTGACCCAGTTCTAGATTCAATTGCACAATTCAATGTGCAGAAGCTCATTTTAGAACATGCAAAATATATTATGAAGAAATTTAGATATCATCCAAATGATACTGCTTCGCCAAAAATCAAATGGATTAGCCACTTTGGTTTTACCATGGGATGACCATAATTAGTTCAAGATCATCTCTCAGGCTAGTTAGTGTTTTGAAAAATATTTTCCAAATTAACATTAGGACAACACTAAACTAGTGACCAAGGTAGAAGGAAAGTAGGAAAGTACTTATGGGATGTGTGTGGAGAACAGGCTCGTGAAATTTCTCTCAGGAGCCTAATCAATTGTGCTGTGGGTGGCTGTTCTTTCTTCAAACTTCTCCTTTTAATTCCAGCAAATTAAAACGATTGAGAGATACATGCGACGCCTGGAGTTTCACATTAGTAAGGTAACCAGTGCTGCTCTTGTCTCTGCCTCTGTATTCCTGCTCTCAGTTACTGCCCAGTGCATGCTCACATGGGTATCGGATGGCTTTAACTGCTGCTCTTGTCTCTGCCTCTGTATTCCTGCTCTCAGTTACTGCCCAGTGCATGCTCACATGGATACCGGATGGCTGTAACTAGATGCATCAGCTGAATGTAGAAATGGAAGCCTTGGGGCTGCAGAAATAGTGCCACAGTTAAGAGCATTGGCTGCTCATGCCAAGGACCCAGGTTCAGTTCCCAGCCCCAACAGGGTAGCTCAATTGTAACTCCAGTTCCAGGGAATCTGACACCTTCTTCTGGCTTCCATAAATACCAGGCATGTATGTGGTACACAGGCATACATGCAAGCAAAACAACAATGCACGTAAAATATAGATAAAGAAAATCTAGAAGAAAGAGAGGAGTTAAGTAAGGGAGGGGAAGGGAGAAGAGAGATGGGAGAGATAAGAATGTGAAGCCTGATTATCTGGTACTGTTTAGACGTCACTCTCATAAGTGTGACCAACTTAACTGAATTTTCTCTACTATTGATCCATGATTTCACAAAACTATTTTCAGTAAATAACCTGATTTTTTATTTTTTAAATGCTTAATCCTGGGCTGGAGAGATGACTCTGTGGTTAAGAGCACATACTGCTCTTGAAGAATTCACACCCCTTGGCTCACAACTGCCTGTAACTCCAGACCTGGGGGATTTGATGCCTTCTTCTGGCTTCCAAGGGCACCTGCACTCAAGTGCACATACCTGCACATAGACATACACAATATATACATGATTAAAAATAAAATAATCTTTTAAAAAAGAAAAAAGGCCAGTCTAAGCTTAGGAGGATGGTTCTGTGTTAAGAGTACTTGCTACACATTTACACAATAACAAAGACCAAAGTTTGGATCCCAGCACCCACGCCACAAGCTGGGTATCCCAAAAATGCCTGTAACCCAGCTCCAGTTGGGGCAAAGACAAGAGGATGGGTGTGGCTTGCTGGCCTTAGGCTTAACTGAGAAAACCTGACTACAGGTTCAGGGAGCCACCACTTTTGCTTCAAAGGAATAGATTTAGAGTAATAGATGAAGACAGCTGGTGCCATCTTCTGGCTCCTACACTCACACACATACATACACTGACACACACTCACACTCATACACACACTTACACTCACACATATACTCACATACTTACACATACACTCACGCACACAAACACACACACATACTCACACTCACATACACACACACTCACATACTCACACTCACACATATGCTCACTTACACACTCATTCACACAAACACATGCACAAATGCATAGATAAAATACCTACAAGGTATCACTTGTTAATAATGTCTCTTAAAGTGATAATAGTTTTGCATTCTACACATTTTCTCTTTGATGTAAAATTAGAACCTCCCCAATGCTTTTTCTCATGTAGAAGGCTCCTGTCCTCCTTGTCTAACCCCACAGTTCAGCTCAGACCTACACATTTTCCAGTGTTCCCCTTCTTCTCTGTGTATCCCCATAGCCCTTCTCTTCCCCCATCCCTCCCTTTATCTCTCTTTCTATTTGAGGCAGGATCTCAATGGCTTAGAATCCACAACCCTCCTACCTCAGCCTCTCAAGTGCTGGGATTATAGGCATGTGCTAGGCCAGCTGCCTAAGCCAATTTAAACAATCCCAGTGGTTGCCTCAAAGACATGAAAGGGCCTTTTTAACTTGCATAATTTGGAAACAAGATTCAAGCAAAATCTGCTTTGAAACAAACAAACAAACAAACAAACGGGTATCAGTATTGAAAATAAATAAGTGACTGATGTAAGGAATCACTCTTGACAATCTACTGCTTCTCCAGAACAGAAATACAGTGTATCTTTAAGGGCATGATAACAGCCTATGGGACTTTTCTCAAGCATGACGGTTATTTATCTGTTTCCTGTTTGGGTTCTGGCAGGTAGATGAGCTCTATGAAGCCTATTGTATCCAACGTCGTCTCCAAGATGGTGCCAGCAAGATGAAGCAAGCTTTTGCAACATCCCCTGCCAGCAAGGCTGCCCGGGAGAGTCTGTCTGAGATCAACCGCAGCTACAAGGAGTACACAGAGGTAAATCCTGCAGTCTCTTTCCATGACCAGATCAGAATAGTTAGTCACTGTCAGAAAGAGGAACACACACACACACACACACACACACACACACACACACACACACACAGAGAGAGAGGGGGGGGGAGGGGAGGGGCAGGCAGGCCTGCTGGCACAGGCCTGTAATCCCAGCTACTCAGGAAGTTGAAATAGAGGGATTACAAGTTCAAGTGAGTGAACTTGGGCTACTTGAATGAGTTCAAGGCAAGGCTGGACAGTTCAGTGAGATCACGGCTCAAAATGTAAACAGCAACAATGTAAAAAGAGAGTTGGGAAAGTAGGTCAGTGGCAGAACATTTATTTGCTGGCAGACATGAGGCCCCTCCCCTCAAATATGAAAAAAAGCTGCAGGCAAGCAAGGTAATGGTGGAATTGTCTGAACTGAGCCATAAAGCCTAATATTTTATCATTTAAATTCACTTCTAAGTACTGTATTGTGCCCTGAAGGAAGAGTAGAACCCGTGATACAATGGCTAGCCAACATACAGTTTTGATATTGGACTCCATTCTGCCTACAGTTCTGTGCCTGTGTGCCTCTGTGTGTGTGTGTGTGTGTGTGTGTGTGTGTGTGTGCATGTGTATGTGTGTGTGTGTGTAGGAGGGTGATGAGAGATTTATCCATGAACAGAAATGAACAGTAATGTATCTTCCTGGTTTCTGACAGTCTCTGGGGTCCAAGTATCATCAGACAGGGAGGGTTTCACCCCCTAGGGGTCACCTAACACTAATGCATGCCCTTCATGAAGAGGCTGAATTATTAAAGCTGCACTTCTCACTGTCCCTGGAGACTTCATTTGGAGATCAGATGTCACCAGTGAAGTCATGGCTCGAGCAGGATCTAGTGGGCAATTCGCAGAGCCGAGCATCTGTCTTATGATCCTTTTATGCTCACACCACAGGGCTGCTTGAACCAAATAAGTCTTTCTCTTTTCATGATTTAACATTAGGCCCTTCTTTGCCTAAATTCAGAAGAATGCTTTTAAATTCATAAAATAAGCTGGGCTTAGTGTAATCCCAACACTTGCAAGCTGAAGCAGGAGAATTACTGCAAGTTTGAGGTCATCCTGGGCTGAGTAATAGTGACTACCAGGCCAGCTAGGACTACATAGCAAGAATGTGTCTCAAAATAAATAAGCTCTGTGGTGATCACTCAGGCATTTGAGTACTTGCTGGAAGAGGGCACTGGATCACCTGTAACTATAGTTACGAGTCACAGTGTAGGTGCTGGGAACTGGAGGTATTGGGAACTGACCTCGGGTTCTCAGGAAGAACAGCTTGTGCCCTAATAAGCATTACAGTTTCGAAGTGCTGAAAACCTTATGTGATTTTTATCCCACCTGCAGCAGCAGTTCTCCAAGTATTTTTTAATTTCAAACAGTGTTCAACCCTGGCTGGATTCATGGGTGACTTCAGCCGTTAATCTAGTGGCCCCTGAGTTCTTAAGACAGTAGTCGCATTCCCAACGTGCCTGATGACACACCTGGTAGGTCTCAAAACAGGTCCCTTGCAGAGAGGCCCCAGGCTCTGAGGAAACAAACTATTTGCAGTGCTGAGATTTTCTTTTCAACGCTTTCAAGCTACTCAGAGCTCAGACCTGAGGAAATGCTCCCCAGCTTTGCCAAGCTGTCTGAAGTACTGAGGACTTCCTACAGGAAGGATAACGCCATTCTCCCCTGTCCCACACAAGTGACAGCACTGAGCAAAACAAAGACTCAAATAAGCAGAGCCTGGGGACTTCTAGAGCTCCCTGATGCCCTGCTTGAGCCTGTTGGTGATTACTAAGTGGCCTCACTTTTGTCAGAATAGCAACTTGCACAGGCCGCAGTTGAAGCTGGCCATGAAGAAGAGGGTCACAGAAGCAGAGAGGGCCAGACCTGCTGACTATAGCAGAGAGGCTTGCATTGCCCCAGCTGAGCTGCAGGAAGCTCTCACTGGAGAGACACACTGGCTGGGACACTTAAAGTCCAACTGATCTCATTAGGTCATCTGATACTGGAGCGGTAGAATGGGTATGGTCAGGTTATAGCCCTCAGTATCTCGTTCCCTTAACACCACAGTGAGGAGGGGACCCCTACTCAACCCAGGGGCTCATTCTGGGGCTTCATAACATCACATTGGAAGTCTGCCTCACTTGGGTAGAATCAAACTTCTATACTTCTCGTCCCCCTCCCCAGAATTGTGTATGTGTATGTACACATGTCTGTGTGTGATGTAGAGAGGCAGGTATAGAAACGTGAGGAAGACCTCAGCCTGCATCCTCCTGGGTGCTACCATACATTTTGTTGGGGTTTATTTGTTTTGTTTTGAGACAGGGTCTCTCACTAGTCTGGAACTCTCCAGTAAGTAAGCTAGGCTTGTAAGTAAGCTAGGCATGTAAGTAAGCTAGGCGTGTAAGCACAAGCCCCGGAGGGCAACCTCTCTGCCTTCCTTGTACAGAGATTAAAAGCACATACCACCAAGCCTGGCTGCTTCTTTCTTAATTTTATTTTGAATTTAGCAAGTAAAAGATATATATAAATGTGTGATTTATGACATAGTATTATGAAACAGGAACACACTAGAGAGTGGCTGACCCAGCTTGTTTAACCTGGAGCATGGCTCTCTTCCTATAGGTGTGCATGGCTGATTCCCCATCACAATAGTACCGCCTTCTTGTACAGTTGTGCGTCTGTTCTTAGAACATCCGCATTCTAGAGTTGTCTGATTACTTGGATATCATTTAACTTGTTCATCTAAGCCCCAGCTATCCCATGCACTAGAAGCGTTACGTTGTTCTGCCTGTCTTGCAGCGGGTACTGGGTACTCACAGGAAACAGGAGCATGCCTCCTGTCGAATGCTATCACTGTGGAAATGCCTCGAGCCGCCGTGCAGAGGAAGGAGGATCTAACACCGTTTCCTATGCTCTTTGCAGAACATGTGCACCATTGAAGCAGAGTTGGAGAGTCTGCTGGGAGAATTCTCCATCAAGATGAAAGGTAATCTGTTCTTGTTCAGAGATGGATAAAGATGTCATGTCCACAGAGATTCTCGAGAAGGTGTGCTTTTGCAAAGACATAGGGTCGCCTACTCTTGGGCCTTCCACTTATGCTAATTTCTAGATGGGTCTCTACTTGAACCTTGTCTTCACACTTGAAAATGGTGTTTATCGAATGAGTGAAACAGCAAAACCCCAGAGTCCGTCCCACGACTCAGTAATCACCAAGGCTTTGCCACTCTTTCTTTTCCCTTTGATGAACTAGAAAACTCCAGAGGAGGAGAAGCCAAGAGTGTCAGAAGCGCCTGTAAACTTCAGTACAGTTCTGAAAGAATAGGGCCATCTTACGTAACTGCAGTGCCTTGGCCTGTTGTCCCATTATCACATCTAAGGAAATTAGCAAGCCTCTGTTATTAACCTAGTTTGTTTGCAGATATCCCAGCTGTCTCACGAATGCTTCCTAGAGTTGTGTTGCTTCAATTAGGACCCACACAGGGTCCATGTGTTATAATTAGCTGTCAGTTGGGCTCCCTTTAATCTGACACAAACCCCCATCCGACCTTCTAGATTTGCCTGGCAGCCTCATCACATTGCCAATTAGCAATCTATTTATTTATCTACTTTAAATATTTTCTTTTTAGTTTGAAGACTTTTTTTTTTTCTTTGTAACTCAGGCTGGTTTTAAACTCATGGCAATCAATCCTCCTCCTGTAACGGGCCAAGCACTGGGAGTATAGACCTGCCTCACCATGCTGGTCTCATCATACCCATCTCACCGTGGCTTACTGTCATTGTCATGTCAATCATTTCATTTGTTCCTCTGCTCCCATGTTGCTGTGAATCTGTTCTAATCGAGAGCATTGTTGGTTTAAACTACAGCATCTGCAGCACAAAAGAGGAAAGAACTTCACCTAGCTGTGGTGAGACTTACACTGCAGTGTCCATGGTGTCCGTCAGGGCTGTGGGACAGTACCATCACAGCCAGCCCTTTTCTCTCCCATGTTTGGCTCATTTGACTGTAGCTGAACAGCTGGGCCTCTGCAGTCCTTTCTCTGGGTTGGTTTGCTTGTTTAACAGTTTGATCCTTAGGTTGCTAATGGGGATTATTACCTTACCTACTTTCTGCAATAAGAAGAGTGAAAGGGGGGAAACACCCTTTAAAAGTGGTTCTGGGTGGAGCTGGAGAGACAGCATAGTAGTTAAGAACACCAGTGGTTCTTGAAGAGGATGTGGGTTCAGTTCCCAGTGCCTACATGGCAGCTTACAACCATTGGTAACTCCAGTTCCCAGGGATCTGATACCCTCTTCTGACCTCAGACAGCAGGCAGTTATGTGATGCACATACATAGCGCCTTGCCTGTGTTGGACATCTGCATCTTTCCAACTCTCCAGGTCCATTTGCTTCCACTTAGGTCTCTACCTGAGTCAGTGGTTCAAAACCACCCTGGATCCATGCTCCCTTTCAGCAGTTTAGAATCTATACAGCCAGGATGGAGGGTCTCGGGATCTCTTTAAGCTTTCTGCATGATTCTGTTAATAGCCTTGTTCATTGCAGCCTAGCTTACAGAGTGAAGTTACTTTGCCACTGTTAGCACAAGGATTGCCCTTGCCCCATGGCATGTAGGCCAACACACACGAAGAATGAGGTCACCACCCCTGTTAACAAGGGCTGCTCAAGTCCTGTTTCTGATGTTCACTAGTATCAGATGCTTCCATTTTTGATGAGAGAGATAATTTCTTCTATTTCATGTGTGGATGCCAGTAGCCAAAAGACATGAGATGACTTCTCCGAGGTCACACAGAAAGCTGAGGTCAGACTTGAAGCTGAATCCTGGGGTTCTGGCTCCTACTTTAGTTACTTTTCCCATCTCTGTGACAAACACCTGATTTTAAAAAGGAACTTTGGGGAAAAGGGATTTGTTGTAGTTGATGGCTTGAGTCAGGAATAGTTAGTCATGGCAGAGAGGTTATAGAAGAGCTCATGGCTGTGGGAGTCTGCAGCTAAGACTACTCAAATTTCCCGGGACCAGGAGCAGAAAAAGAGAAATGTTGGTGCTCTGATCACCACACACACACTTTGTTTGTTTGTTTGTTTGTTCATTCCAACAACCAAACCTGAAGGATGTGGTTGACACGTTCAGGGTGTGTCTTAACTTCTAAATCAATTGACCTTGGAAACACCCTCACGTACACATCAAAGGGTTATGCCTCACTAATTCTCGGTGCTCCACCCTTTCCTTTTCCTCCCCTCCCCTCCCCTTCCTTTCCTTTCCTTTCCTTTCCTATTCTCCTTTCTGGACAGGGATCTCATGTAGTATTTGCTACATAGCTGAAGCTGGCCTTGAACTCATGATATTCTTAACACTCACTGCCCGCTAAGTGCTAGAGTTATAGTCACTGTCTCAAGCAATAAGGTAGACACATATAGTTTGTATAACAAAAGTTATATTTTATTATCCTGAGGGTCATCACACAAGGTTCACACTCTAAATTCTTAACTATGGTCCTTACCCTATCTCTGAAAATCTGCTCACCTGTGACATATTTTAGCCAAAGGTCTGGTTTCAGTCTCCAACAGTAGTCCTGGCTCGGGAGACTCCCCAGCCTCATGTGTCCCTGCTATTTTTACATCTCTAAAAAGGCATTTTTTACTATGCTCAGTACAGTCAGCCACCACCATACCCAGCCTTCTAGGCAGTTTTTTATTCAAGCAATTTGACCATGGAAATTAACCGTCACAGCTGCCAGTACATGACCACCTCAATGCCACATTATGAAGAAGTTCTAATAATTGAGCAAACACTATCAACCATTGCTCAAATGCCGATTTTCCTTAGAGAAAGAATTCCCTTGAGCTTAAAACATAGGCACATGAATCGTATGGCATTGGGAAGGAACAACCCACCCATCCACATGATCTAAATCTCAGACCCAGAGATAGTAAGCTTCTGCCACAAGTGGAGATGTCCTGGTCACCAACTGTGAACTGGGTGCTTGGGCTGAGGCAGTGAATGCCTGAGCCATCTGCTCTGCTGTCTCTCTGCCCACTTTTCTCATATGCTTCCTTGGTTGCCCCAGACTCAACCTCTATCACCTCTACCCTCCTAAAATAAAAATAAAAAATAAAAAAAAAAAAACCAGAAACATGCACACGTGTGCTCATGCCCCATTTTTTCTCTCTCCACAAAAGGAATGAGAAGACTTCCCAGATGCCATGACATCCTAGATTCTCATGAACTGCTGCCTGTCCATTATATTTGATTAGTATACACCCAACCTCCACCCCCACCCCTGTTCCCAAAACCAACCACTTGCATCACATTTGAAGATCTGACAACCCCTAAGTTCCTCCTGCCACGCCCTCCCACACTTCCCTTTTGCTCAACTCCATAACTACAACCTGAAAGACAGTTGTCCTGGCGATGGTGATGATAAAGACATGGGGGACAAGAGCTGCTAAGCTATGCACACCAACCAGCCTTTGCCACCTCATGACTCCTGGACACCACAGTTGTCTGAAGATGTGGGGTGGAGGGGAACCTCCAAGTAGCTCAGTGGGCATACGTGAGCAACTGGATCAATCACATGACCAGACTGCTGTAGAAGCCTGAGCCCAGGATGGATGGAGGGGTTGTTGAGGGCAGAGGCCAGAGGATCTGAGTGCAAAACTAGCTTGGGCTACATAGTAAACTGTCTCAAAACAAAAAAAGAAAATTAAATCAAGTTTGGTGGCCCATGCCTGTAATCTTAGCACTCTTGAGGCTGAGGCAGGATTATGAAGTTGTGGCCAGCCTAGGCTTCAGAGTGAGACACTATCAAAAGAAAGAAAGAAAGAAAGAAAAAAAGAAAGAAAGAAAGAAAGAAAGAAAGAAAGAAAG